TCTCTTTAATCCCGGTCCCCCGGGGGGGGGGGGGGGGGCGGGGCGGGGCCGCCCCCCCCCCCCCCCCTCCCCCGGCAGTAGCGGCTGGAAACCTCAAACTCAAATATCAACCTTGAATCGACTTTTTTTTAAAATATATATATATAAAAAAAAAAAAAAAGCATATGGGCTTCGAACCCAGGCTTTTACTACGTATTGTGTTGGTGACCGTGGCTGGCCGGGGTGGGCTGGGCTAAAAGTCAAGTAAAAAAGATACGTATTTCGAGAAAAGATAGAAGTGGAAAAACACGTGAGAGACCCGTTTATTCTCAGCTTTTCTAGAGATGCATCTAATAAAACCGCTTAAAATGCGCATAGACGAACTTCCTTTCTCGAGTCGAAGTTTTCCAAAAGAGGAAATCGAGGTTAGCAAGACAATATCCCTCGTAAACTCGGGCAAACTCGGGCACTCGGGCAAAGTTCCGCGTTAAAGTAACCTAGCGACTTCCGACTTCCCCACGACAGCCTCAAATATATCAAAGTTAGACTCTTATACCATTCCCTAGGAATCTTATTAGTTTCCCTACCTATGCAATAATCCCTAGTCCTAAGACGCTACTTGAGCATACGAGTTGACTTTACATACATTAACTCCCAGCATCTATAGAGTACTCTCCAAACACTTTACTACCTAGGTATTACTGTTGTTGGAAGCAGAATGTGACATATCACCAACATTCCTAAGGTTTACGTTACAAAGAGGAGTCTTGTAGCATTGAGCTGTATTCATACTGTGCAATTAGGCTGCTATCTACCTCGTATGCCCTCTGCTGGTGATCTATCATATGCGGTTAGGCAGGCTGGCACACGGGGAACTAATCAACATAGCCAACAGCCCGTTTGATTTGAGAAACAACAGAAAACACAAAATTCAGGTGTTACATATCGGGTAGTGTAACACATCAATATTAGCCCTGTGACTGTATGTTGGTACCCAAACCACTTAAAAACGACCAGGTATCATGCTGTTCTTACCTGAAGATCCGGTACAATACCTACCTAGGATCGATTATGTTTACCTCTCTATGCGCTGGGGCCTCACATAGCCTTGTTAGGTTATTACACTTTCTCGCTTTCTTACATGCCTGGATTTAATACACATCATTTACACATGCAGTTGAAATCACTTCATCAAGACACCTACACCGCAAACTATTCCGTTCCATCTTAATCCTATTCAGTTACCCTTTCTACCTCTTTAAACTCACATCCACTGTTCTACATTTCTGTTATTCTTCGAATCAATCGTAGCAAGAATGGCACAGGCTAATCAGAGAAAGCTGGCCAAGTTATCCGCGGAAGAAATCCGCTACATTATCAATCATGTATTCCTTCCACCATGGTTACCCCATGAGAATGATTACGAAGTAGAGAATGAAGAAGCCTTACTAAAAACGGTCATTCAAGCTCTCTATGAATTTAGAGAATATGTACAAGGAGACGAAGTCAACGCTGTGGACTTGGCCATCACTACGATGGAACATCTACATCGTAACCGCGATTTGGCTGGAAGTAGATCATCAACTGGCCGAAAAGGGCTCCTCGAGGCTTTTGATCTCCTCAATCAGAAAGGTTAGACCATGCCCCAACCCCTTTGAAATATCTGCGAGTTAACTAGGTATTTCTAGTAGGTGGGACGGTTGCATGTCATATTCAAGCTCAGAACTGTGGTGTCTTGTTCTCGAGATTGGATACATCTGTTTACGTCGAAATGTTTGAGCTGTCTCCCTCTAACCAGGCTGTCATTTCAACAGAGGGGAGATTACGTCGGATCTTCCCCGGCGCAGCTGTGTCTATCCCGTTGTCTGTTTTCCAAACATGCGAGTTCCAAGATACAGTGGCTTACACCTTGACAAAAATGACCCACCAGTCGGCCCCTGATACCCAACCCCAGGTCAGGAAGAGCAACAAGATGCACGACGAAGATCGAGATACCACACACCCGAAGATGATCACCGAGCTCTTCTTTGCATTCCTATTATCTATGGGCAATGAGGTAGAAGTTACGAAAATCTGGAAGAATACTCGCGAAGAAGTATTTTGGCAAGATGCCGAACTGCCGTGGCGAAGGTCGGCTTTATGGCTGCTTATTCGTGTCGTCTTACAACTCCTATTCACACGATCGGCTAGTTCACCAACATGTCCAGATCATATATACAAAGCTTTCATGATATACTTCATGGCACAAATTCTTGTGCAAGGACGAAAAAGCCTTTCAAGCGACCTGCTAGTATCTATGAGTGCCAAAATCTCTAGACGGTACCATAAGGTTGTCAGACCTATCCCCGGATCTATCGTTGAATTCGTAAATTCAACTCTATCAGAAACGGATCAGATTCTCCAAGACCGATGGTCGCGGATCCGGGAAGAAAATTCGGCTCCTAATAGCCTAGAGGGCCTTCAAGATCTTGACTTTCATCAAGATACTCATATGTCGCTCTCGAGACTTGTCGATTTTATCAACGATATAGGGAACCGTGAGAAAATTAATCTGCATCTTACTGTTCAGATGAGCTGCCCCCTTAACGATTATGGTTCTCAAGTGCCTCCAGTTGCATCATCGACAAACAACATGCATGTGATGTACGAATTGGCATTGTTCGAGTCATGGGTGGCATCAAACCTCCAAAGTTGGTTAGAAGCCAATGAAGAGTCTGACGATGCCACTGGTATTCTGAGACAACGTATTGAGGATTACTACAGAATTGCCTTCTCGCGCTACGAAGGTAACCCCGAGCTAAGCTCCATCATGATCCTTACCATACTCGACCTCTGGGTTGCCTCCGACAAATCAGCAATACGAAATTGCAAGTTACTTGATATGTATGAGCCAGGTATCCCATCGAACCTCTTGGAGAATCTGAATTTGCCAACAAAAAGCCAAATGATAAGGCTCCGTGATATTGAAAAATATTTAGTCGATCGCAGATCCCAGGCCCGGTTCCCTTACGAAGCAATCAACGATTTTGGTAGTAGCAACTGCTTTTCTGTACAGTTTTTCAATCAATCTATTAAACATAAGACGCTACGCGCTTCCATTATCAATAAAGCAAGCCAGGATAGGAAAGCAAAGAGAGAAGAATTTCAGCAGAAAAAAGACGAATACGACCGTCTCATGCTGATGTTCGATAATATTGAACATGATACTGTTACGAGGATCAATTCAATCACAGGCGAGCATTGTGAGGATTGCGCCAAAAATTGTCGAAAATGCGACATCCCTCGGCAGGCAGGGCAGATAAAAATAGGAATACACGAGTGGCCACTGCCCAGAAATGAGCTTCAAGAAAAGTCAACTGTATTTGAGCTCCAAGTTCCTTGCTCATTCGGTCACTGGCGTGACACTACGGTGTTCGTCCTTTACGACATCCTGAAGCTAAGGTACTCAGTGGAAGAGAAACCAGTAGCTCAATATAAGTTAGCCGGTTGCTTATCCGGGTACTTTTGTGAATTTGATTCAAGGCAGCGGATAATACTGCTATCTGGTGTTAAGTCTCATACAGGAACCCATCGCCGTATGAAAGCCATTGCTACCAAGACTGTGGATGATGTCTGTCTCGAGAATGGACTGCGTTTGAAATATTATGACAGCTCGAACAATCTCTTCACTACTTCGTTTACGCCTACAGATGATGTTGTCGAACTATGCACGTACTCATTACCGAATGGACCAATGAACAAGATATCACCAATACAACCATTTATTCATCGGGTCCCGTTGGAACCTGCTGGCCCACCACCGAACAAGGTCATAGCCACCCAGTCGACCTGTCCTACCGACCTTTCTCTAGAAGAGTACAAGGCGCTTGCGTCTCTTCCGTTAGGTTTTCTGCTTCAATGGCAAAACATCTTACTGCAACTTGCGTCACCAAGCATAGACTTCAGGAAAGAAGAGACTGCTTTGGTTATCTCGCAATGCATCTTCCAAGTTGGACCTCCAGACGGGCATAATGTGTTTAGGGATAGTCATAAAATCCTCGTCGATATGCAGTTTTCTCGTGCCTTACTGGGCAACCTGAATAAAGCACTGGCTAGGATTAAAAAGAATTGGCAATCTTTTCAAGCACATGGGATTTTCGTTTCTATAGCTAGACGTTTGCTTTCACTGACGTCTTCCCAAAATGAGAAAAACAGGTGGCTCAACTTTTTGGCTGATATTCGCAAAATCACTTCGGAATGGATCCACGATTTGGAGGACAAAATCCAAGGCGCTACGGATGATAATGTTAAGGATGAGCTGCGATACAGATTGGTGAAGATAACACTGATCTGTGCTGACACGTTCAACATCGAAGAAGAGAATCTCCGTAGCCTTTTGGCTGTATCCGATTCTGCTTGTACTATGATACGGTGCAGTATTGTCATTAATGAAGGACGAAACTGCATTCCAAGGAAAGCAGATGATTGGACTTCTATTATGTATCGAAGATGGGAGCGGCTTGCGTATCGAGCATTTAATATCCTCGCAGAAGAAATAACTGCGAAGGGAAGCCCAGCATTAAACAATGCTATTAAGAAGACTTGGTCTGATTTCCCTGTGGCGGGAAAGTGGACAATCCAGAAAAAACCGTACCATCACTGGATTATAAACCAGTCAACGCTTGATAATGGAGACAGCCATTTGTACGTCGTTTTCAGTCTATTAACC